TTTATAGATTTCCTCTCAGCCTTGGACCAATCAGGCTGTGATAAGACCCACGTGTGACCATTCCCTCCTCCCATTCTGGAAAAGAGAGGACTCCCTGGAAAAGACCCAAATGTTGGGGGCAATGGAGGGCAAAAGGAGAAGGGGACAGCAGAGGATGAGATGATAAGATAGTGTCATCAACACTGTGAACTTTTGTTCATTGGGAGATGGTGGAGAATGGGGGGGGGATGGGAGGGGATGGCATGCTATAAAGAGTCGGACACAACTTAGCGACTGAACAACAGCGAAACAACTTGATATGAAAGCAGCACTTAGATACTAGAGGGAAATTTTTAGCTGCTGCAAAATGTACTACCATACCTATTTCGGGGGCTGCACTAGCTGCTGTGTGTTTTTGGCTGCACAATCCAATGCCACTGAACCTGGGAGTCAGTGGAACACCTGTTTCCTTCACTGCTGGCTCCCAGTTCCAGGGCACTGGCTCTTTACCCACAGACACATGTCGGCCTTCTTTCTAGACTGCTCGGTCTTGGGAAACAGGTCCTGTATTCCTGCTGAAAATCAAAACAGGAACCTGCTTTCTTGCCCAAGATCAAATATCATGAACCTGATGTTTTAAGCAAGAGTGGGGAATTATTGATTGATGAACTAAGTCTGGCCATGACACATTCTCACATCGCCTGTGGCATCCTCTCTTCAGAACAATTCAAAATAAGTATATGAAAGAAGGACGGTTTGTTTTCAGACACACTGGAGAAAGGTTTAAAATGTAGCCATGGTTTAAATATCTAATACAAAAGAAGTCTGATACAACTAATAATAAAAGCAAGAAGTGTGGAAAGGGGTTAATTTAAACATGTATTTTCAGAGAAATTGGAAGTGTACACATATAAATGTACAAGAATGTAAAGTCAAGGAGAATGTTTCCTTGTTCCTATTTTCCTTAAACGTGCCTCACTGTTGCATACATCACACATGCGTGTGTGCACATGCAAATATAAATAATGAGTCAAATGAGTTAGTCATAATGTGAATTACCTGGTTTGTTTACTGTGTTGGGCAAACCCAGTTATTCTGGCTTACTGGATAAACCTTGCATAAACAAACTATAGCTTAGCATAATGAGGGCACTCAAGTCAGTAAATGGGGAAAAGGGCTGAACTTTGGGGTGGGGATGTTCTTCCAACCACATCAAGGACTCTGTTGTGGTGGGTTGGGCTTTTCAGCTTCTTCTTCTTCATTGTATGGGGTTTTTTTTTAGCAAGCGCTAGCTATGGTCTCTGAATCCTCCAGGTTTTCCAGATCAAAGAAAAGTTTGAAGGAGCTTTACCTGCAAAGAAGGCTGGGGAAACCAGCTGCTTCGAAAATAATCTTTTCTTCACGGGGAGGTTCCCATGCCACAGGACAAATCTGTTGAATGGAAAAACATCAGATACACATCAAATTACATGTACTTGAAATATTGATACAATATTTGTATTGTACTGTACTGACGTTCCCTAAATCAACTAACTAAAACTTTGAGGTTTAAGTTATCTAAAGCTATAATCATCCACGTCATTCCACCCAAAATCAGTTGATTATATTATGATTAATTCTATCATATTAGGAAAATTGTTCCCTGCAATGAGATGTTTATGAAAAAATAAAAGAGCCACATGGAAATAAAATATTTCAAAGATATATAAACATCAAGTGAATTTAAAATTTGGCCTAAATCTAATTACATCTGAAACCTGAATTACATGAAGTAATTTTGCCCAATTCTAATTTGTGGGAAGGTAATTCAAATAAACTATTCAGAAAATAGTCTCTGAAATTACAATCTATTTTAGGGGTGAAACACTCAAGATACCATATATTGCATAAATAAAATAATAATATTATATTAATAATATAATATAATAATAATATAATAATAATATAATATAATATAATATAATATAATATAATAATAGAATATAATATAATAGAATAATAGAATATAATATAATAATAGAATAGAATAGAATAGAATAGAATAATATAAAACACTGTGACTAGCCCAAACTCAACCAGGGAGTCTCTGTGGATGAATTTTGTAAAAAAAAAAAAACAGTCACTGGGAGTTCAGCAGCCTATACATTTAATCAACAACAGCAGGAGGAATCTCCTTGTTCCTGACCTACTTATTTAGTCACTACACCAGGGTTCCCCAACCCGTTCTGCAGCCAGTGCCGGGCCACAGTCCACTTGGAACTGGGCCGTGGAAGTGATGGGTAAGGATGCACAGGAAGATGTATTAGTGAAAGTGGCATGCATGCCCAAAACCATCCCTTCCAATCCGCACCTCACCAATGCTATCACCACCTCCACCAGTTCTCCAAGCCGGAAAGATTGGAGACCACTGCACTACACCATCCTGGTTCCCAAGAAAGTTGCAGTCTCTTTTTCAAACAGCAAATCACCTCCTTTGTAATCCAAAAATACAAGTGAATATTGCTCTATATCTAAAAACATCAACTCACCTGTCACTCTGGTTTATAAAAACAAGCAGTCACATTTTTCTCCATTTAATCATATACAAGTAGTCCTCGACCTACATTCATTTAGTGACCATTCCAAGTTACAATGGCACTGAAAAAAGTGACTTATGGCAAACCGCCATTATGACCACTGTAGCATCCTCGTGGTCACATGATCAAAATTCAGCTGCTTGGCAAGTGGTTCATATTTATGACAGTTGCAGTGTCCTGGGGTCAGGTGGTCAGCTTTTGAGACTTTCTGACAAGCGAAGTCAGTGGGGAATGTAGTTACTAACTTAATAAAAGCAATGATTCACATAATAAATGTGGCAAGAAAAGTTGTAAAATGGGGCAAACTCACTTAACAAATATTTCACTTAGCAATGTAAATTTTGGCCTCAATTCTGGGAAACCAATTTTTTTCAGATTAAAATGTTTCTCATGAAGTAGGCCGAACCTATTGTTCTAAGGACTGGGTGAAGGGCAGGCAACAGTTGAAGAACTGATTCTAATCCCAATGCGTATACTGTAGAGCAGCATTTCTCCATCTTGGAACTTGAAGATGTGTGAACTTCAATTCCCAGAATTCCCGACAGCCAAGTTAAGAAACGCTGCCATAGGAGCTTCCACCTTGCCACATTCTTATACTTGGTCTCTACACTCTCCTAACCATAATATTATCCAATCCTAGTGTCAGAAGGAGCAACGGAGTCTGCTCAGTGGAACCCCAACAGATGGGAATGTTTGAGTTGACCTAGCCCTCAAAAGGCCTTCACTGTTCTTGGTGAAATCTGCTTTAAGACTTAGCAAATTGCATGAACCCGATCAGCTTTGGCTTTTCAATAAATTATTAGGAAGTCCTGTCGCCTATTCACATAGATGATTTCCCTTGCAAAGATGACCAGAAGTGTGTGTCATTTTCCCTTTTGGTATCTCACCACACCAACTGTCAGCACAAGATGTTCAGAATGTCACGATATCTAATCCTCCTGTCCTGATGAATGACCCTCCACTCCGTGCGACCCTGCTCATCTGGGAGGGGATGAGGCAATAGAGGACACCTTGGACACCCAGATCAAAACCCACATTAGGACCACAGATAATATATGTACACAATAACATTCATGTTTGTGTGTGTGTTAAAACAGAAGTATAACATGCTGGAATAAAATAGCTTCAATGGTAGTCCAGTTGGGGAAGCACAGAGGCTCTGTAGGTGATTAGCACTGATGTTATCCAGTTTGGGTTACGAAACATCCACAAGAAAACAAGCAAGTTCAGAGAGTGCCAAGGACCTGACCTCATGTCAACCCTGAGCTACAAATATTCTCCTTTATTGATACTTCAGCCCTTTCTCTCATACTCAAAACAACAAAGGCAGGTCAATGAATACCCTCTTCTCATGTGCCACAGGTGTCCTTACAACAAAGTTTTGGACTGTCCATGTCTTCCAAACCTAAAGCTTACAAAAAGCCTATAAACCTGGTTCACATTCCAGAAGCCTAAGATTTTGGCAGAAGAGATATGAGTGATTGTGGCATGGGGCTGATCAGTCTGCATTCACTCATTTGTGGCACATATTTTGACTTAGCCATATGAATCCATCAGAGGCACAAGGTTTCCAGAGAGCTCTGCCCAAGAGACTGTTCTACCAGTACAATCACAACTCAGGGCACTGACGTTCAAAGGTGATTCACACACCAGTTCCTCTAATTCAGACTATTCCTACCTTAGACACAGTATTTTTCCTGCCAGCCCAAATTTCTCTCAAATTCTCTCTTCAAAATCTTTATCATGTCAATGGATTTAGTCTGGGGAATGATAATACCGGTAAAATCTTTACGCCTGGCCTATATCAGACTCTGGATCAGAGATGAAAAGTCCAACTTAGTTCTCCTGGACTTCTCAGAGACTTTTTTACACCCATCTGGCATGTTGCACAGCTCCATCACGCTATTTAGCAAACCAGATGGCACTGGACCTGGATATCTGAGAGACCGTCTCCTGCTACACACCTCCCAACGTCCAATAAGAACTCACAGGTTAGGCCTCCTCCGGGTGCCGTCGGCCGGTCAATGCCGGCTGGCAACCACTCGGGGGAGAGCCTTTTCTGTAGCTGCTCCGGCTCTGTGGAACGAGTTACCAGCAGAGATACGGCCCCTTCCCTCCCT